CTGCCGTACTTGCTTTGTAGAAAAAGGAACTCAAGTTATATCAATGCCTTGTTATATACTCCTAATTAGCCCCCATTGCCACAATAAATTGAAAAGGTTAATCCTCACTACTTTATATAGACAAAGAAAGAAAAAAAGAGAAAAGATAGAGCCTTAACTGACTAGTACCTCTGTATGGGGGATAACCCCTATTTAAAGTAGAATAGAGAGAAGAATAGTTGGAGGTAGCAGTTCTGAGTAAGTTTAAAAAAAACAGGGAATCACTGAGACGGTATGCTGGATACAGAAATGTATAAAAATAAAACGTCACTTTTATTCAAATAGCTAAAATACACACAAATATTTAGATAACGTGGTTAACTAGTCAACTATCACATTACAGCCCTGCTCTCAGTGGCTTATTTTTGTCCACGTAAGTTACATTGAAAAGTATCTACTTAGAATTGTATTCCAGATATACCTGTCAGTATTTAACTGCTGTTGATATTGAAAAATCTTGATACAAGACGATTTCTGGATATTACAATTTATGCAGTTTTGATTTTATGTTATTCACTTTTATTTTCTTTATTTAGTGTTTGTGTGGCAGCGAGTATTTTCATTAACCCTGTATTTAAGGGGATTTTAGCTATCTGAATAAAAGTGACGTTTTATTTTTACACATTTCTGTATCCTGCATACCATCTCAGTGATTCCCTGTTTTTTTTTAACTTACTCGGTTAATCCTCACTATAACAGACATATACATACATACACATACACTGTATAAGTGTATTTTAATATTTTAATATTAATATATATATATATATATCTCAAAATACACGTAGAATGATGTTGATTAAATATATACATAATATAAAATAAATGTATATGTAAATACATTAAAAAATAAAATAAAAAAAATAAAAAAGTGTAATTTCGTTCTAACCGTATTTTAAAATTAATATATTGATATCAAAATACATTTAGAACTAAACAGTATATCTATAATATATCTATATACATAAGTATATATATCACTATATATATACCTATATATAACTAAAAATAATTTTTAAAAATTATATATATATATATATATACATATATATATATATATACATATATATATAATAATTCTACGTATATATTTATGTAATAATTTTACATAATTAGGTCATTTTATTAATTACAATTTGCGGGACCTGCCTGACAACCCAGGCCGAAAGTCCAGGGAATTTAATTTGCTAGCACTATATTTAACCCTATAACTTTCCAAGACTCCATAAAACCTGTACATGAGGGGTACTGTTTTACTCTGAAGACTTTGCCAAAATTGGCATTCAAATTAGTTTTTTTTATTTTTCATACACAAACCGATATTAACACTAACTTTGGCCAGTGTTTGTGACCAAGTGGCTACTAAAAAAGACTGTACATACCCTATTTGCAATACCTTGGGTTGTCTACTATTGCAAATGGTATGTCATAATGGGGGTAATTCTCATTCCTGGGCTATCATACGGTCTCAAAGGCAACGTAACCAATCTGGTGAATTTCAGTGTAAAAAAAATGAAAAATGTAACATGTTATATTTGACCCTGTAACTTCCCAAAACATCATAAAACCTGTACATAGTGGGTACTGTTTTACACGTGAGACATCGCTGAATACAAATATGTGTATGTTACTGCAGTAAAAGCAAACAGCATTATGACATTCACAGTTAAAATGTTACATAGAACTAAAAAGATTTAAGAAATTCTTATTTTCTCCCATTTTGTAATATTTTATTCATATTAAATTATGTTTCATACCTAAATATTTGATGTTAAATGAAAGCCCTGTTTCCCCTGAATAAAATTATATATGATATGTGTTGGTGCACATAATATGAAAGAGGTGAATTACGCCTGAACAGACATATAGCGCAAATTTCAGATTTTGTTTGTTTTGTTTTGATCACAACGTGTACATTTGACTCAGTCCTTAAGGGGTTAAAGCAGTGGGTTAGAGAGCAATTTCATGTTTTGTTTTGTTTTTTAATGAATTTTCCTTATTTAAAATTAATTAACGTTTATTCACCCCTTCGGCCCCTTCCCACTTGTATACCTTTGGCCAAGGAGGAGGGAACTCTGATATCCTGGTGGTCCAGCAGTCCTTGCAGAGCACTTCTGCACCTTGCAGAGCAGGGGCACTCCTCTCGCGAGCTTCGCATTGATGGTATCAGAGCATTGCCGTGGTAACCTGCAGCAACGTTCTTAATGTCAAGTTTGCAAGAAAAGTGCTCAGTTTTTGCAACAAGCGAAGGTGAGAGCTCCTCAATGTCCTTTCAAAAATTTACCCCAGTGGCGATTCGGCTACACTACAGGGATCTGAGAGCTATTTGGACAACTTGGGCGGTCCGATCCGGTCTATCCGGGGATATAAGACTTGTGGGGGTATCAATATTATACATGTTTTGGGGTATTTTATGTGTTATGTACTGTACCTCGAGTGCCTGGGAGATAAATTGTTAAAACAAGAGACCCCCAAGCTGAGGGTCTGTGTATATAAACAGGTAACTTGCCCATAATAAACCAATCCTTTTGTACCCTTCATCTAGTCTCATGCTGCCCAATATAGTTCCATAAGAAAAGAGGTGGCAAATTCAAACAAAGGACCCCCCTGGCTGTACAATGTTCCCAGGGTTCGCGAGTTATGCTATATATCATACAGTTTCACACACTCGACAACCAAGTACCGCTGCCTGGGTTCTGGAGACAAAATGGCCACCATTCACTGTAGCACGTGAGTTCGGTTACACGAATGGCCACCCAGAAAGAGCACTTGAGTCAAGTGTTTATTTTGAAGCTAACGAGCTACGGGGTGGTTGGTGTTTGGTAGCTTAAAGTACCAAACTAAGGGGGGAACAGTATGGGTTCGGTGAAATGGGGCAGGTTAAAACAGGGTTACCCTATTCTTAACCTAATATAGGTTCTTCAGACCTGGCTTATAACTTTTTCCAGACTGGAACTCACATATTCTTCTGAAAACACATTAAATAGTTAATGGTCTTTATAAATAGAAATGTATATTTCTAATGCTATAGTGCCCTGTTAACTGGGGGGTGGAGGGGGGGGGGCGGTGACTGTCCCCCACCTACAGGGAGAGAAAAAGTTCAATTACTTACCATTTCTCCCACACAGCACTGGTCTCGAGATCAATGATCTCAGCCAACTCAATGCTTTTCATTTGGAAAGCAGTGGGAGGCTGGTGCACATGCCTGGCAGAACACCGAGCTGCACCAATCAGATGATCTCTTTGAGACCATCTGATAATAGTGGAGTTTTAATCTGGTAATTCCTTGGATGCACCTGTAGTGGCTGAGTAACAGCCACTAGAGGCATTTAAAATCTGCAATGAAAACCTTGTCATTCTGCAGAACAGCAATGTTTTCAGCTACAGGGTTAAAACTGAGTTGCTATTAAATCTTCAGACCTGTAGAGCAGCCAATCACAAATGCCCCAATTATTTTTTCTGGCAAATGCTGACCTCTGTTCTATAACTCTCTACAAAAGGCTTTACAGACAAAGCAGGGGGTTATATATCAGTAATCTTCTCTCTACTTATGAAAGTAGTTAGCTAAACTAAGCTCCCAGAACCCTTTGCAGAGCTTTCTGATATCATTTACAACTACTGGAGCAGAAGGGGAAATATTGGACAGAGACAAATGGGTAAATTTACAGAACAAAATTATTTGTTTTAAAAAATAAAGAAACATGGAGTAGATTAAAAAAGAAAAAAACAAGCAAACATAATTCTAACAATAACATTGCATGTAATGTCCATGAGTTGCTTCTTAAGCTCTCTCAACAGACAGTGATATTTTTGTATATCTTGTGGCTCTCCACTGGTTTTTGTCAGTGCTCTATTTGCCTGAGTTGTGATCATCTACTGCAGGACGGTGGCCAACTGGAAGGGTAGGTTTTTTTTGTGTGGGTAGGTGGGACTGAGGAGACACGAGTTAAGTATGCTGAAAAACATGTAATTTTGTACTTTTTCTTCTTCAAAAATAAATTCATAAATTACTGAGCAACAATAAACAAAAAATAAAAAACTACTAATTATTAGGCCAAAAGGAGGCATAAGAGCAGTGTTAGTGCCTAGCATGTCCCTTTAAGAAGTGTGATACATATGCTTACAATATATATAAAATATTATTTACTATATGATGGTTTATGTGCCTTTATGTATACAGGCGATTTCACAGCCTGTTTTCATTGCCATACAAAGAAATTTAGCTCATGCAGCTCACGGTTGTCAAACCAGTAGAAAATAGATCATAGCTGTTATTAATATCTGGTTGTAAATTCAGACAATTTAAAAAAGCATTCACACTTTGCACCTGTGATATAACATCACTCTTTAATGGTTTGTAGAGATGCAACATATCTAATGGTATTCTTGGTATGAAGAGATTTAAATTCATAATCTCAGAGTGTCCTTTGCAACAGTCCCATTTTACTTGTACACCGGGGAGGAAGATGTGACTAACCTTAAAACTCACATTACATTTGGCGTCTCTGTTACATTGAAAGATAAAATTAAGTTGGTGTTACCAACGCTGAGTCTTAGTAATCTGTGTATGAATGGAAAATATAAGAAGAAGAATTCTAGTCCATTGCATGTGTAAAGTGCCATTAATTTGAAACTCCAATGCTAACCTAGCAATTTTTTGCAGGAATTTCTCAAAACTCCTTGTCGGTGATGAAAGAGGAACAATCACAAGCTGGCATCTGGATTAATAGACTTAAAGCTTGGCCTTGCCCTGGCCATATAAAGTGCCTTATTGTCGTCTTGTAACTTAAGGACATCAGAGAAGCAAAACACAATATATTCCTTTGACCAGGAGGTGTGAAAGTCGACATGCTGGTCACCATCCTAACATAGTACTGGACACTCGGTTAAAAATAACAATAGAATTGGTGCACTGTTTTCGCTTGCCATAATCAACAAATTGCACTATAATATGGTTAATGTATTTTTTTTATTTTGAATATTGGTAACTATAAATAGGCAGTGGCAGCAGCATGCTATATATTGAGTAAAGGATGATATCCTTGGGGAATATCTGGATATTTTCTTTAAATGGTATGGTTAGTAGGAAAATACATTTTCTTTCGAGATGTGTATTCCATAAGAATTTGTAGAAAATGTTTCCCATTCCCTTTTAATGAAATTACTACCATACTTCTTAAGGTGGCATATGGGTAGGCTTTCTTGAAGAGTCACCCGAGCACACAGTTCCCTAAAGAGGGTGCACAAAAGGATTATAATGAGTTGACTCAGCTTTATGTAGGTACTGAACGTTAATGTTCATATTTTTATATAAATATAATAATATTGCTTAAGAGTAACATATTAAATTTACTAGCTAAAACATAATGCATTAGCTTTTTCTATCAGGGATGCTTTTTCCAGTGAACAAATTGACTAGTCTTTAACCACAGTCCCTGTTTTGTTCTTTACATTTCAAGCTCTCTAGTCATATGTTCAAACCTCAGGTTTCGGGGTTCTAATCTTGACAGAGTGAATTGAGAAAAAATATGTCAGAGTACATACAAAAAGAAAAATAGATCCTTAGCATCACAACACATCTTTCCATAGTTAGGTCTGTTCTAAATGCACTGAAGATAAAAAAAAGAAATATATGCAATGGTTTCAGATTTGTTTTTTCTTCTTTCTAGAAAGATCTAGAAAGGTATTTACAATAACTCCAGTCATACTAAACCTAGCTTTGTAACATAAACATTTTATTGTGTAGAAATCATTGTATGACTATATCCACTTACTGCTACTGGCTGGTCCTGACTTGTATAAACATTTGGATTTTATAATATTTTAAATTTCTTTGGAAACTTATATTTTATTTTTATTAAACTTATACTGAATTAAATCACTAATCGTTTATCGTGTTTTCTTATAACACTGTAATTTGATTGACATACTGTTATTAACAATGCTTTCTAATTAATCAAATAATTTTTACTGCAGATCTAGAATACAGTTTGATTACAATTTGTATCAGCACTGTCTTAAAATACTATCCATAGGTTTTCATGTAGAATTCTCAATGCTAGACATTTAGCTTTAATTTGATTGGAGCATACCATTATTACACAGTATTTCTAACGTAAGCGTGTGTGTGTGTGTGTGTGTGTGTGTGTGTGTGTTCGTGTTCCTGTGCACATAGACAGCAAATATTATATTTTAATGATGTGTATCCACAGTGCCCATTGGTCTAAATACTGGTCTTTAGACTACTTTATATTTTGGGCTTGCATATTTTATGTTTATTGTTTTTATTAACCTTTGGTGTATTTACTGAGACATTCCAGAAAACTAACTGTGGCTGGATTTACCAACTATGCTGGAGGAGTCTTAGCTGCATATGAAGAATATGTCTCATTTAAACATGGCTACTTTTACATTCAGAATTTGCTGAGTACATCCCGATACAGTAGACTTCCCCACTATAGGACTGCATATAGATATGATGTTAACACAGACTTCAAGTTTTCTCAGTTGTTTTTTGTAATGTATAATTTTTATTGCATTTCTGTAAACATTAAACTCAGACAGTGGTAAACATTCCATCTTCATATACAGTTTGTTACAATTGCAGAAACAAAGACATTAAAATTGACAATATTCCAAAACATATATTGGACAAATGCAGGGGAGGGGGTGGGTATGAGAAGATGATCTAGTGCAGTGGCTCCCAACCCGTGGTACGCGTACCCCCAGGGGTACAATTCAGTGCCCCTGGCGGTACACGTAAAAATCCCGGTAATGGCGGCGGTGCAACCGCCGCGCACGTGCTGGGAACCGCAAGGTGAGCAGGTCCATTGGGTGGCACATACACTCATGGCCACCCGATGGATATGTGCTATGAGGAGCCTGGTGTTCTATCAAATTTCCCTACCCATGAAAATCCCCTACCCTCATCACTTCTGGTGAGGGGAATCAGCTGGATCCTGTGCTGCACATGCATGCTAGCACTCCTGCTACTCCTCCACAGCACGGTCCTGGAAGGTAAGTAAAACTAGTTTTACACTTTCATTATAGTTAGTGCATTCACTAAGCTTAGGACATGGGACATTTAGAGTTAATGTTAGGGTTCAAATTAGGGTTATGATAAGTGACTTGTTCGTATTTACTGATATTTCACATTAGGGGAATATCTATAAATAGTGATTTCTCACTCTATTTTAACCCTTACCCCAAGGGTAGGGTAAGAATAGAGTGTGAGAGAGGTTAAAATCACTTACCCAACCTTAATTTGAACCCTCACTTAACCCTAAATGTCCCGTGTGCCTAAGCTTAGTGAAAGCACTAACTATAATGAAAGTGTAAAACTAGTTTTACTTACCTTCCAGAACCTTGCTGTGGAGGAGTAGCAGGAGTGCTAGCACGCATGTGCAGCACAGGATCCAGCTGATTCCCCTCACCGGAAGTGACGAGGGTTGGGGATTTTCACGAGGTAGGGGAATTTGATAGAACACCGGTCATGCGCTGCAGCACTTTAATAGCGCGACCCAGACCCTTCTAACCTGACCGGAGAGCTGGGAGTAAGTGAGAGCTAGACGCATACTTCCTCCCAGCTGTTACCAAGCTGTGCGGGAGGAGGCCGCGAAGTAGGCGGAGTGGAGAGGATCGGACAGGGACATCCACTCTCAACAGCCTCAGCCAAAGAAGCCACCCAAAAGGTATATGTATGTGTGTTTTGGGTGTCAGTATGTATGTAGTGTGTGTATGTGTGTATCTTGAGTATGTGTGTATGTCAGTGTATCTCTGTGTGTGTGTGTTAGTGTATCTGTATATCTGTGTGTGTGTGTTAGTGTGTATGTCAGTGTATATGTATATCTGTGTGTGTTTTTTATCTGTATATCTGTGTGTGTCAGTGTATCTGTATATCTGTGTGTGAGTGCGTGTCAGTGTATCTGTATATCTGTCTGTGTCAGTATGTATGTATGTAGTATTTGAGCAGTGTATCTGTGTGTCAGTGTATATGTGTGTGTGTGTGTTTCAGTGTATCTGTACGTGTCAATGTACTTATCTGTATGTCTGCATGAGTGTGTCAATGTACGTATCTGTATGTCTGTGTGTCCGTGTGTGTATCTTTGTCTGTGTATCTGTCAGTGTGCGTATCTGTTTGTGTGTATCAATCAGTCTAGGTATCTATATGTCTGTGTGTATGTTATTGTGTATCTGTATGTCTGTATATTTGTGTATGTATGTGTGTATCTGTATATCTGTGTGTGTCAGTGTGCATATCTGTATGTCTGTGTATCTGTGTGTGTCAGTATTTGCATCTGTATGTCTGTGTATCTGTGTGTGTATCTGTGTTTGTGTGCCAATGTGCGTATCTGTATGACTGCGTGTATCTCTCAGTGTGTGTATCTGTATGTCTGTATCTGTCAATGTGGTATCTGTATGTCTGTGTATCTGAGTGTTTTTCAGTGTGCGTATCTGTATGTGTGTATATTAGTGTGTATCTGTATGTCTGTGTGTATGTTAGTGTGTATCCGGGTCCTCAGGGTTACCAAGTGTTGCCCACTGAAGTTATGGCACTCTGAGATTACTAGCTGTGCGTGCCGGAACTTCAGTGGGAACTTTACTTACATCAATTTGCTGCAGAGTTGTTGCTGTGGGCTGGCCACCGGGAGTGTCAGAATTCCCCTTTGTGTCTGGCTATGTGTGCTGTAACGGCCACATAGCTAGCACAGGCATCGGGACATGCAGGAGTGCAGGAGTCGGACTTAGCAAGCAACGGTGTTATTTAAAATAATATCAGGAAGTATTACTTTACTGAGAGGGTAGTGGATGCATGGAATAGCCTTCCAGCTGAAGTGGTAGAGGTTAACACAGTAAAGGAGTTTAAGCATGCGTGGGATAGGCATAAGGCTATCCTAACTATAAGATAGGGCCAGAGACTAATGAAAGTATTTAGAAAATTGGGCAGACTAGATGGGCCGAATGGTTCTTATCTGCCGTCACATTCTATGTTTCTATAACTGCAAGGAGTCAATTCAGACTCCACTTCGGCTAGGATCCACACCACGGATACGGAAAGGGTAAGTAATTATTAGCTTCAATGCCCAACGGTGTTAATTTTGGCGGCAAATTTCCATCTTCGTTTTAGTCATCTGAATTGTTTTAGTTTTAGTCTAGTTTTAGTCGATTAAATCTCCAGTAGATTTTAGTCGACATGACTAAAATCTAGTGCGTTTAATTAAAACCTGTCTTTAATTACTTATTTTCCCTACTCCATGTGTCTCACCTGTGTTTTTTGCGTCAAATTTCAATTTAGTTTTTTTAACTTTTTTTTTTTACTAAAAAGCCATTTTAGTTGTAGTTATCTAAATATGTTACTGGAATGTATTTATCTAATCATTATATATTTCATTTTGGTTTTAATTGTCATAATACAACATAATGAATGTGGGCGTGTGTTGGTGGCGTTGTTTTGGGGGACCCAGGCAGAAAAATGTCTTGGGCCGGTATCTGTGTAAGTCATTGTATCTGTATGCATATGAGTGTGAGTATCTATGTGTGTGTATCTATGTGTCTGTATCTGTATTTGTGAGTGTGTCCATTTATCTGCATGTGTGTCATTGATTGTATCTGTGTGTCAATGTATCTGCATTTGTGGCAGTGTGTGTGTGTCTGTACATCTGTATGTGTGTCAATGTTTATATCTGTATGTATATTTGTGGCATTGTTTGTATTTGTGTATCTGCATGTGTGGCAGTGTGTTTATCAGCATGTCCGTTCAACTGTATGTATAGTAGTGTTCCCATCTGTTTGGCAGTGTTTGTACCTGTGTGTCTTTACATTTGTATATCTGTGTTATGTATCTGTATGATTGTGTAATTGTTTGGATCTGTGTGTCTATACATCTGTATGTATTTCAGTGTTTGTATCTGTGTGTCTGTATCTGTATGTGTGTCAGAATGTGTATCTGCACATGTGTCAGTCTGTGTGTTTGTGTATCCACATGTGTGTATCTGCACTGTGAGGTGCCTGGAACAGAGAAAAGGGGGAGATGGGACAGCAAAATGCATATACATTTGAAATAAAAGCAACTATAATAATTACAAATATTTCAATAATATAAGGGGTACTATTTATGGAAATGGGTTGCCAAGGGGTACTCAAGAGAAAAAAAGGTTGGGAACCACTGATCTAGTGCATGGGAAGCAGAGCCGTCTTTAAGGAGGGGCAAAAGGGGCAGCTGCCCCGGGCCCAGTTACTCCTGGGGGCCCTAAGGCAGCTGCCCCATGGGCCCCCTGCGTGCTGCTGAGGTAATCAGGGGCCACAGCCCTTTAATACTGCTCTGCACCGGGCCCTTGTAATATGGGGGTTGGCTGAATAAAAACACACAGCTAGCCCCTCACACATTGCCCTGTGATCCCTTTTCTTCTCCGTGGCATGCTGGGAGGCAGTGAGGTCAGATCACTCAGTGCCGCTGGGGAGGAGGCACACACCACACGGAGGAGGAAGCAAGCATTGTTGGGGAGAGGGACCGAGAAAGCTGATGGCAGACTCCCATCAGCCTGGGCCAACAAGCTCCCACTGGACCCCAGGGAAGCCACCTTTCTGTACCCAAAAGGTAAGGAGACAGGAGGGTGGCTAAATAGGTTTTGTTTTTTTGTTTTGCTTATTTCTGATATCACTTTTATTCAAGTGTTGGTGTTTGTAATGTAACACACAGGGAATAAGTACATGTTAAAAATCCTAGAAGAACCTGACAGTTCCCTATTAAATATAAATTTTAAAAGTATTTATTTTAACATATTATTGCATCAAGTGTTATCAAAGGCTGTATACCATTTCCAAATGTCACTTTTGCCAAATTCTGGACCAGGGTATGTAAGAACAGAG